GAAAGTTTCACGGAGGGACTGAAGAGCACACTTTTTGGTGTGCGGGGGAGACGGTGTGGCAAAATGGCTTGGGAAATGGGTGGGGTGGACAACAGCATAGCATCAAGAGACAACAGTCAACAGTGCCGGATGAAACACAAGCACTTGAAGAACACGACTGGAGATCCCGCGATCCCCCAAACACGCAACTAGAGAAGCAAATGGCTGGGGCTGTTGCGCTGAGGCGGCCAGGACCGTACGTAGGTTCTCGTTAAACAAGGTAACGGCCTTGTTAGGAACCCTAAGGTTTTTGTTCATGCTTGATATCATTAACGGCTCCTGGCCGTACTACTAGGAGCAAGGACGTTACTAGGGGCTTCTGGCCGTACTACTAGGAGCAAGGACGCTACTAGTTACTAGGGGGCTCCTGGCCGTACTACTGGAGCAAGGACGCTACTAGGAAGGAGTCCCAAAACAGGGTGCTGTTCAAGCGACTTGCAAAGACCAGTGAGGAAAGGTCGTTGCCAATCCACTCCGCAACTTGGTCGTTTGTCACCGGCTCGCTTTGCGACGTCATTGGCCGACAGCTGCCCAAAGATCGCCATTGGACACATTGCTTCGACACTGCTAAATTAGTCCTTTACATAAACTTGGAACTTGTGCAAGTTCAGTTGGTGGTGGGTTCTTGTGGTCGTCACATTATTCGGCGCACAGACTGGCCGCCCTTGTGAGCTGGTCTCCTCGTGGCCGGAAGGGCAAGGACACACTTTGATCACAACTTACAGAGCACTCGTATCTACTGGTAGGCCCCACCAACCCCATGCCTACGTGGTTAGCAGTTTTGGGCAAGTAGTCTAATGTAAAATATAGAGAGAGATGTTGTTTTCTAGGTGGCGGGGGCTCACAACCTGCGGTAGGCCATTAGCTGCTCCTTGACTCTTTGACGGCTTCACGAGCTGGATCTCAGGATAGGGGCGAGGGTGTTGATGGTTGGTTGGACTGTCAAGCTAGTCACCGCCCACTGTCCCTGCCACATCGTTCCGCATCGTTTTTTGGATGGCCGGGAAAACAACTCCCAGTTCTCCTACTACCTCGTTCTTCGGACACATCAACGACACAATTGCGATGGGGTTCCTAACGTCGCCCACAATGGCTGGGCCCCATGAGGCTGTCTCCAAAAAGTGGCATGAAGATGAACCGAGCTGGACCAGTGACTGTTCAAAGAAGAAAACAACCACTAGTATATAGCCGCTCTCCAGTTTTCACAATACTCGCATCACCTGCTGGTCTGCTTATACAGTCATCCTCCAGTGCAACAGAAATCTGCAGACCCCCCCAAAAAAGCAGAAGAATGTCGGGTCACCCTTCCCACTTCCACTCCCACAGCGCTGACCCGCATCAAACCCCGCCTGGAAGACCGCAGGTGGCCAGGAGATGTCGGTCAAAAGGCACTGAACCTGGTCACTGGGCTCACTAAGCGCCGTCTGTGCATCCGCGACAACGTTTGAAGCATCAAACAGGACCATGGTCGATGAGTTCAGCGGAATCCACTGTGGGATGTTGGCCAAAGGCAATCGAACACCCCAAAGGGCGTTGTAAGCTTTCCGATAACTAGAAACGATGTAAAGTCCGGGGGCGTTGATCAAGGTATGCTGTACCGTAGCACATGGAGCTTGACATTTTACATCCGCACACTAAAAAGTCAAGTAGCAGCATCTTCAGAAGTATCTTCCAAAAGTCTGTCTCTAGTAAGCATGGATTCAAATTCGATGCGCTCATTGAGTTGCCAAGGGATTCTTTCCCCAGCGGGAACAACACTCGTGCGCGCCTCATTCGCATCTTCCCGCTTGAGAGGGCAATCCAGCCAACCTGGTTCAACCGACACACCAGGACGTCCTTCCGCCCACAGATGAACGCTATGTCCGTTTCATGTTGGGAGCGCCCTGGGAGTGTCTTTGGGGAGTCTTTGGATCGCCGGCGCACGATGCCCAGATCCAAGTCACAACCACGAGAGGAGAAGAAGAAAAAGAAGAAGAAGAAGGCCTACATGTTCAGCCAACGAGTCAAGCGCGCCAGCCTTTGGGGATCTTCTTCAACTGCACGAAGATCCAAACGAGGCTCTTCAAGAAGAGCTGGTGCACCTGGTGCGACGTTGGGTCAGTAACGTCTTTGCTCCTAGTAGCGATGCCAGGAGCCCCTAATAGCTTCTTGTTCCTAGTAGCGATGCCCATTGCTCCTAGTAGCTTCTTGTTTCTAGTAGTAAGGCCAGGAGCTACTAGTAGCGTCCTTGCTCCTTGATTCCGTGTGTTCGGTCGACGGCCCATGAGTGTGGGATGAATTTCCTGACGGTCCATCTTTGGAGTTGGACGGCCCTGAGTGGGGTGACCAGCTCACATCCACACTAATGAACTCAAGGCCAACCATTTAAACACATCAAACCACCAACAGCTCGCTTCCTCCGTCCCGTCTGCCACCCGTCTTCAGCCTTCGTGGGTGAACCAGGGTCATTCCCAGGCCAGGGGGGCCCCTCCAAGCCAGGAGTTGAGAAAACTTCCCACCAAAGGGTTTTGCTCTGTCCTGTTTCATGTAAGGTCGGAGACAGCAGAGGGTTATTTATATTGCCCATCTATGACGACGAAGTCATACAATATTTGGGTAGCGGTGAAGCCAGAAGTCGCGGTGGCAGGACAGCCATGAGATGCTGATTACTCCTAGCTGCCTCCTGACATCTGGGTGTCACATGTTCGGGTGATGATCACCATCCCGGCTGGCCTGCCGCAGGAGCTGCGGGTTGTCTAACAGCCCCCGCAGCGACACGAGACTTTGCCTCAGTGGGCATTCCAGGAACGCCCCGAATCGGACCCAAGAAGAGGGCATTACAAGTGAATTCAAAGAGCTCATGACGTGATACCTTGCTTGCCTAGACTTGGATGTTTATGACCTCTTGGATTCAATGCTGGTAATTTTTTGAGGCTTGCCAAGGGGGTAAAAGATGTTTGGGGTGAAAATACTGGCAAACCTGCTGACCTGATCGCTGCCCCAAGAGCCCATCACAAGGAGCCCCACTCGTAGGTCCGCACGGGTGCCTCACAGACGGGCTGCAAGACAAAGCTCCTCGCCCGCGCGATGATTTTTCAAAGACCACCTTCAAACACTATTAGGAGCAAGGACGCTACTAGGGGCTCCCGGCCGTACTACTAGGAGCAAGTAACTACTGGTAACAAGAAGCTACTAACCTTCTTCTTCGGATGACCGGCTTGGGGATGCCAGCGGTCGGTCCAGCAGTGCTGTCTCTCAAACGTTTGCATGACCTGCGACTCCGGGACTGGGCAAAACATTAGAAGATTGTTTAGATCTCATCTTGGAAACATCAAGAACCATGTATATATATATTATATCACCAGGCATACTTGTATAGTGTATGTATATATATATATGCTATGATATGATTATTCCTCCAAGGGCAAGACTTGGATGATTCTAAACACAAACCAAAAGACCCTGGCTTTGGTGGCTTATCTATGATCCAAAAGCCAGTGTCCAGCAAGACCATGCGCAGTCCTCTCCGGTGGCCTGGAATGCACGGAGTCCAGGAGGGGACTTGTCGGATGGGCTGGAATGTTCATGTTGAGTTGATTCAAGACCCGGTAGCTGAAATTGGCCGGCTTGAAAATAGAATGAGACCCATACTTTCATACCTGCCAAGTTTCTGTTTCCATTTTTTAACCGCAGCCCTGTGAGCCATGTCGATGTAGGGAAAAAGACCTCTTAGTTTGATTTGTCAGCTTGACCCAAGGCAACTGCTCAAGTAAGAGACGGCTTGCTGGTGCGGTCGCACTGTGATCACATTGCGCTTATGCGAAGTGATCTCAATATATAGAGCTCTATGGCCAGAGGTGATTCAAAAAGGCACTCCCCAACTGCCAAGCGTATTAGTGGGGCAGGAAAGAATTGCTGGTTCCTTCAAACATCAATCCAAATTTTCCAAGGGTCAACTTGACCAACTCATTCAAATAAGGGGCCGTGAGACCTGACATGAAGCGGGCGCACCTCTGGTTCTCAAAGGCATGGGCAAAGGCCTCGTCGATCTTACCAGCCTGCGGGCGAGGGTGGAAAACCTCCGTTCTGCATCGATCGAAACTCCGTTCTTGCAAATCTGGCTCCAAGTTCTCTGACGGGCACTCCCCACATCGAAGCATCGCCCAACCTCCACGTGATGGCAGCTTGTGGGCTCCTGACAGTTCGAGCAGCTCAGGATAGAACTGCCAAAACCGAGACAGGACGCATTAGAAGCTGCTCGTAACAAGGTGCCTTACTAGTACCAGTAGTAACAAGAAACTACTAGGGTGGAGGCCATCGCTAGTAGGAACAAGAAGCTACTAGTAATCAGAAGGGTTGCTATCCTCATGTGGTTGTGAACCTCTCCTCATTGCACCCTTCACAATCCAGAGCTTTGGAGTTTCACCGAGAACCCAAGCAGCATAGAGAAGCAACACCCCAGGCCCCCAAATTCAAGCCTCGTTCAACGAAGGATGTAGAAAAACTGATCCTGTGGGGGTATCACCCTTCGGTGTTGCCCGGTAGAGGCAAAGAAGCAATCAAGCGGCCTTTTTCAAGGCTGCGCCCTCACACAGCCAACGTGGCAAACCTCTCTAAGCGACACTTTTGGTCATCACCCACAGCTGTCAAAAGCACAGAGCGAAAAATGTGCTGCTCAGTGGCCTGAACTCACTATGGCAAAAAAAGATAATGTGATTGCTGCAAACCGTCAACCTCTGGGTGCGTGCGAGGTGCCACCTCCCCGGCATGACTGTCACGCAAGGGATCATGCAAGCCCTCCAGGCTATTTGGCCGCTGGACTGACCAGCGGCCTAAAATCAATCGCCCTCGGTTCTCGGATGCTCCTATTGGAGAAGGTGAGAAAGAACCACATCTCCAATCACCCCAAAAGCCATCAGACGGGAGAGATGATAGGTATCAGTATCTTCAGTATCGTCATGCAATCCAAAAGCTCAGACCTTCTAGTTGCAGAGGACGAATAAGGACCCATTCTGCTCCATCTCCCGAATGGACCGGAGATCATCGTCCAACACCTGAAGGCGTGGGCAAAAGGATCTGACGGTCCTTCCCATGTCAAGCAGGACTTGATACCTACTGTCAGACTGCTGAGGACATGATCAGGCTCTTTTCAGACAGCCCCAACATCCCCAACTGGGGCTGTCCACCTCTCCACCCCCAAAATCCACGGATCCCAACCACATCCGCCTTGGGATCCTCGTGCACCAGGACACACATGCCAATCAAGCTGAAGAGGTCGATGGTCTTCTCCACTTGACGTCCAGCTTGCAGGTTCTCTTCCAGAAAGACCACCGATGGGAGGTTCCTCACCCTCTCAAATTGGGTGGATTCCACCAGACCATCATGGTAGGAGATCAACATGGAAACCTGGCTACTGCTCCGTGTTTCACAGAAAAAGACATGAACATTATATATATATATACAATTCATCATTCTGCCTCTCAAGACACATCAAATGATGTCAAATGTCCATAGATGTCCCCATCACATCTGCGCTGATTCTGGGTTACTTTGATCTCGAATGTCAAGACACTTGCCCAGAGGCCAGGAACTCGGATGGTACATCTGGAAGGCGCTCAAAGGCTTCTTCACTCAGGAAGGCATCCACACAAGCGCTCACCTCAGGGATCGTCTCAGAGTGCGACAAAGTTCTGTGGGATCAGCAATCATTAGTCTGATCAAAGTAATGGTTCAACGAAGATCATGCAATCTTGCAGGTTCTACCAGCTGGAACCTGATTCTCTAGGTGTCGACCCCAACCTCTCAAAACAGCGGTATTGTAATTTCAGAGCATAAATCTTTGATTGATTTCATCACCAACCAATCAGCATCAGCAAAGGCTGCTTTATCTCTATTTGAGCTGTAATCCAGGGGGCGAGTGTGGAGATGGCAATCGCTCAGCCTCCCCAGACTCGCCTGAGTGTACCCTGTCATGGCCCTCGCAAGAGGCATCCAGGACCCAGCTGCTCCATGGCAACGACTGTTCACTTCCACCAAGCAAGGGCCCGTCTCGGTCATCATGACCTGCTTGCAGCCACTTGCTGATCGCACCACGAAACAGCGCTTTCCAAAAACAAAAAATAAGAAAGGACCCATCTACTTGGAGGTCATGCAACTGTGCAGAAATCTGGATCATTGAGTCTTGCAATTCTTCTGGTCAGCTGAACGATGTAAACTCGGGATGGCTTCCACTCTTCAGGACAGGAAACCTGGCCAGAAGGAAGTCCCAAAGCCCAAATCCAACGCCGCCCGCCTCTGTGTGGGTTGCGCCGTCGGTGATTCGCAAGGCATCCAAGCACCCGCGCGTGTAGGCGATGAGCTCCTGGAGTGGTGACACTCGGTGAGACTGAGAACTGCACCGGAGGACCCCAAACACCAAAAGCACGCATTGCCATGTGCAACGAGGTCGAATGACAGCCGAAGCCAAAACGTGATTTGTTCCGCCCATCTTGGGTTCCTTTGGCCGTTCTCGGACCCCTAAGCCCCTAAGCCAAATCTAGTAGGTGGTGCAAGCGGTGCTGCGAGCCGCAAACGACCAAAAGGCAAACGAAGAGCTCTCCTGAGCCACCGGGCTCTCGGATGGGACACACTTCGTCCCGAAGCAAACAAAGCCCGCACCATTGGCTGGGCGGCGGTCGTAGACCCAGACCAAGGTCCTGGGTCTTGTTCAGTGGAGCGGTGGAGCGGCCCATTTTCTCGAGGGGATCGCGGAGAGCCGGGAGAGCGGAGGAGGCAATGATGATATAGAACCATCCATATAGGATGCAGTCATACTACTGATAATTACGTGCAAGATGACGTTAGAATATGTATACAAGATGTCACCGAAACATGAAGACCCACACGACTCAAAAGACTCCCTGAAGTTTTGCGAAAAGCATCGTCTTGTGCACGCCATCCCGCGAGACATGATCCACAATGTACTCTGTACCCTTCAAGTACTCTTGCAACAAGACGGCAGCTCCTTGAGATCCGGCCTTTCGTTGAGAGTTCATCAGCAGGTGAAAATGTTCTTCGGCCTCGCCGGCACTTCGACACAGCTTCACTCCATCCGATCCCGCCGACTCCACCGGCTTCACAATGATCGGAAAGGCTTCGGTGTCGCTGAAGGCCTTCACATCGTCCCAGCTTCTCCCACAGACTGAGCGCACCGCTCTCAAGCCATGCGCCTTCACCGCATCCTGTTGCACTTGCTTGTCACGGCGGTTGGCCATGCCACCTGCCGTGGTATTGCCACGAAGACCCATGTGCTCCTCGAAAGACGTCAGAAGATCTTGAGGACTCAAGTTGATTCAATATGACTCACGGTATGTAACTAGGCTTGTGCCAGCGCTCACAAAGGGATTCCATGCTGTACAGCTATTTAGTTCATGTTTTACACGGATTCCACCAACCGTCACACTTCTCAGGAAACAAACAGCATCTGCGAACATGCTCGATCCTCTACTCTGTAGGCCAAGAATTACGAACGAATCACCTGGCCAAAATACCCATCCAAGTTCCATCGTGGTCCATGTCCACCAGCAAAAACACCCGAGAACTGCTTTGCCCCGAAGACCTACATGATGATCCATCATGATTGGAAACACCTAACTCTCCGAATCCGTCATCGTCTCTGACAGGACCCAAGCACTCACAAGCCAGAAGGATCCAGAAGGTAGAAGGACAAACAATCTTCCCCAACTATTGGCATCGCTACTAAGGGCTCCTGGCATCGCTACTAGGAGCAAGGACGCTACTAGGGGCTCCTGGCCTTACTACTACGAGCAACGCTACTAGTAGCTTCTGGCCTTAGTACATCTTCCATCTCCATCATCTCCAAGGCTCTGAGAGGGCATCGGCCACTTTCACTCCCGTCTCACCACCGCAAATCACCGCCACGACCTCGCCGTCCGCACGGGTGGCGGCATCATGCAAGGCACGAGCGGTGGAGGCCAAGGTGGAAAGCTCGTCCACTTCGGCCAGAAACTTCTTCTCAGATTGAAACCGAAGCCTATGAGCTGAGCGGTGCCTTCACTCCAGTTGTTTGAAGGTACCTCGGGGCCGCCTCAAAGCCTTGTTTGAAGCTGGGCGTTGTGGCTTGGAGGGGTGGTTCTCTGAAGCATGGGGTGTTTCAGATAGGAGGCGTGAAAAGGTGGGACGGTGGGACACCGACACCGAAATCTTCACTGAGCTTGGAAAGGAAAAAATAATGCAAAAGCTGCAAAAGGTAATCATGTGGAAGGCAAATGTCAGGGAATCCCTTGGCAGCCTGAGGCAAGTGATCTCGATTCTCGCCCACATCCTGCGTCCACAAAGCGATCACGGCATAGCCCCTCTCGTCGAGCTCTGGTGCCAACATGCCACCGGTGGAGTAGGGATCGACAAGCACCACGCATTGAGTGCCCTTCACAGCGGTGTAGCCTTCACATATACAAACGGTTCAGTTCAAGATCGGATTCACTCCAGCCAGATCTACAACTTCTTTCTAGTGCGGCACCAAGTGGGGTTCTGCAGTTCTGAGGCCAAGTATATAATTCTGAAGAACGCGCGCATCCATGAAAGTTCGTGCCACGTGAACAACATCAACGAAAGTCCGCTCACCTTGCCTTGGGATTCGCCTTTGCACATGGCGGAAATGGAAGGTGGGAGCAGGTGGGAGATCCGAGTAACTTGAGCAGCTTGCTGCACAACAAGGCTGGAGGCTCTAAAAGTAAGCTGCAATTGCACTGAAGAGGATACAGTAGAACCCACACATACTCCTAAGCAAGCGTGGCCGTTGGTTTGACCAGCAAAGTTCACACGATCGAATTGCGTGCTTTTGGGCAACAAGATCCCTCTTGGTTCGTGAGTTTCACATCTACAGCCGGATGCTAAGCACTACTTCCCCTGTCAATCAAAGTTGGAAGCACGAACGATATTGAGAATGCGTGTCCTCTACCTGGAACTCCTCTGCTCGTCTCCATGTGCCAACAATCAAGAAAGCAGAGTATGAAGTCGCGAGGGCACCCGTCCAATTCCAAACAAATAAGTAAAACAGGTGAAATACATTAAGAAGTTCAACCCAATCCACTTGTCCCCAAAGCCTCTCCCTGCAGCACCCACGGAGGGTTTTCAGAGAGTCCTGCATCTCAAGGCCTCTCAGTTCAAGCTGCACCCAGCCAAAGCCACTGGCCTTAAGATTGACCCTCCAAAGGGGAGAGCATGCGGAGCGCACAACGGGGTTCAACTGACCAAACCTCCAAAGGCATTCTGAAATTCGGGGCTAGGGCGATTTCAAGTGTTTCAGATTACCCAGGGTTTCATTGTGCCAACAAGGTGTATATATATATTTTTTTTTTTTTACACTTTTCACAATAAATGTGGGTCGGGGATACGGTGATGTGCGATGAATCATTGGCTTCCCGTTACAGTTGGTTCTTCATCCTAGTCCTAAACCCTGTGTGGCAAGTTGATCTCCGTTTCAGGATGTTTCAAGCAAATTTCCCCAAACTGCCACTCACCTGTTGGCAGCATTTATGTAATGTAACCCAAATCCCTCTCCAAAGGAGTTCTGTTTATCTCCGCACATCAGAAGACCATGTGCTGACTGAAGTTTAACCCCCGGCATGACACTGCACCCCTTTCGCACCCAAACCCATCGAGCGCCCAGCCAATACCCGGACCACACAGGCCAGCCTCTCATGGCTCCTGCCAAGCTCAGCTGCATGTCTCAGGTTCCTGAATCCCTAGAAACTCCAAAGCTCCTTAAAACCGCCTTCCCCACTCGTTCAGAGTCTCGTTTTGCTAAAGCAAATCGAATTCCCACCCACCGATAAATTTTTGACAGATCCTGCAGAAGAGGAGACTGCCAGGGCTTCGGCTCACTGTCCGCGCACGCCAGTGGCAGCTGAGGCTGCTCAGCAGCGAGGGCGCCATGACTCGGGAGTTGGAGCTTCAGGGAAGGCTTGACGGGTTCGTTTGGGTTTGGAGCGAGTCAGAAGCCGCTGAAAAGTTGAGGGTCTCCACTTCAACGTTGCCCTCTACACTCACCAAGTCAACCACTGGATGGGGTAAAGCATAGATAGAAGCACAAAACTCACCAGGGAATTCAAGCTACTCACCTACTTGCATTTTGCTTTGAGTTTGAGTATGCATGTTCAGTTCTTAATTGTTTGTGTAATTCTTATTTGGGTGTGGACTTCCTTTTGTTGAATGAAATTTGAGTTGAGTGCTTGCTTTGAGTCGGATCAGTTTTTGTTGAGGCTGGCGGGTTTTTGCTGATAGGGTCGTTTCTGGACCTTCCATTTCACTTGTCATAGAATCAACAAATCCCTGGTAGGACCCACAAGTTGTTCGTGCCCAGTGTATTTTTCCTTTGCGAAGGCCACGGAAAAGAAGGAACCTCCCTGTTCTGTCTATTTGAGGAGTCACCCCTGGCAGCCCTGCAACAGCCCACTGGTGACCATGCCATAAGTAATCCAGGCACTGGAGTAGAAAAGCCCCTCCGAGCCCTTGGTGATAGGAGCCTGGCTCTCCTGCGGCCTGAGGATATGAGGGCGAGCTGGAAGTGCTGGTATCAGAATGAAAACGAAACCCATCAGTTTCAATTTATGATCCTTTTCCAACACACATTCAGGTTGATTCGGCTCATGGTGCGTCTGTCCAGCGCCCGGTTTTGGGGCAGCTTGTTAGGTAGCGGTGGGTCTTCACAGATGGAGCCTTCGAAGTGGTGAAGGTTGAGTTATCGGGGAGTCAGCGGCAAAATGCCTGGACACAGATCTTCAGTGTATGTTCCGGCTCCTCGTCCTTGATTCTCAATGGGTTTCAATACTTTGTCTAGACAAGAATTTCGACGTATATCCTGGAACATCCAAAATTTCATTCCCCCTTCCCTCTTCAGGGTTGACCTCAAGAAAGCCACACCCTGACAGCGAACCGTGGACCGGCCTGGGAGCACTGAGCGTGAAGAGTGGTAAGGTGAAAACCGCCAGCAGTGGAACCTCCAGAAGAACGGCCAAGAGCACCAGCACCAGCAGAGCTGGCAAGAGGAGCACCTGGGCTTTGATCTCTCGTGCAGCACGGAAGCTCAGAGGACGGTGCTTTGATCTCCGTCGACACTGTGGCCGTGGTCTCCGGATTTGGAGTTTTTGCGAACAGCGAGCACCATCTGAGCAAAACAACGGTGTGGGAAACCATCCAAGTCTTCTATAAATGAATATGTATATTTATATATATATATATACTGTACTGTATACTGAATCTACCACCTGGTAGGCCCGGTGAGGAGTCATGCTGTCGAGATCGTCGCCCAGGAGCATTGAGCCACACCAGAAGAGAGGTCAAAGGATGCCGCAGCTTGGGCACCTCCAAGGTGATCCAGCAGAGGTGCACAACATATCCTGCGAGAGCACAAGTATGCAACTGCGGAGATTGCTGCTGACAATACTGGCCATCCTGGGATTCTAGATCTTCAGGCTTCCTTAGCCTCTCATTGGGAAGCCTCAATTTTCCGCCTTCACTACTACCCCTACAGTCAGATCGCAGCCAAGGAGCGAAGGTACGCCCAAAGCAGTACCAGGCGCTGGCAGAGCACCTGATACACGGATGAAACTCAAGGAGAACCGGAACATCAATAGCCTAGCCTCAGCATCGATGAAATAGCCCCAGTAGCCCCAGTAGGCCCCAGTTCCATGCTGTTGGCTGGTGACTCCAAATCGACCAGCTGGACATGTCTCCAGGTTCATCCAAGCAGCAGAGATCACCCAGATTTGTACCTGGGATCCAAAGGTCATGTCATAGATACTAACGGGCCATCACTAGTTCAGCTCAGCTCATGCCAGTCATGCACCAGCTCAGCAAGTGAGAATCAAGGATGGCCACGTCTTGCGTCTTGACCATTGATTCCCTAGCTGTTTACTGCATCTTGAGGCGCCTACAGCTACCCAGCCACCCCAAGTTGTTTGAAAGCGTTTTGAAGGCTTTTCTATGTGTTGGATGAGGACCCAAACATACTGCTCCTCCCCGCACTTTCAACACTTCGTCTGGTGGCAGTTCGACAGTTCGACCAATCCAGCGGAAACAAAGTGGCATTACTCGAAGAACCTAGCTACAGTACCCTTGAGGATGAGAGTCCGCTGAAAACCTGCATACCTGTTGGAGTATTTAGCGTAGAAGAGCATTGTGCTGGCTAATGCTTATCAACCTCTCGCCCTTGGTGTCAAACAGGCTTCGGACACCTCCAAACCCAAACAAAACCTACCGCCCTACCAGAAAAAGGCTAAAGATTGACTTGCCTGGCGGAAGCAGGCTGCCCTTGCCATTTTCAACAAGAAGTACAAGGACTTGGAGCTACCAATCAGCTGCTTGAAATTCTGAACTGTAAAACAACACAAACCCAGCCATGCCCGACACCCCATTCCGGATCCGTCGAGGTGCCGCCAGCGGCCACTCGGCAAAGGTGGTGCGAAAGTATTGCAGCAGTCCGGCCAGTGCAGCATCCAAGGCCTGGTGGTGTGGTGCATTGGGGTTTCGGAACCGAAACAGTGGATGATCAGTCACGGCAGCTTGAAGAAGTGTACTTAGGGGTGAAGGAAAGGCTGCAACCGTCACAAGTATGATTTTGATGGGTGTCCAAGCTATACAGAAGAGATGGCTGTTGCGCAGGAAGACTGATTCTGGTGGTGTGTTGTCCTGACTTAGGATAACAAGGTGTCGTACTGTAAAAGAACGATGCAAGGAATCTGTGCAACGATGTTTTTGACCAAAACTACCCCCGGCACTGGAGAAACTCATCGTTCCACCAGCGCCAGTCATCAGCCCAGCAGCCGCTCGCGGCACATCGCAGGCGCTCAAGCGCAGTTGCCGCAGCTGCAGCGCCGCCAGAAACACCCAAAGGCCGAAGTTCGTGTCTGGGAGACAGGAAATAAACGAGACTCTTGCCAAAGCATCGGGTGCTTTGAGTGGAGTGTTGGGTGTCAATCCCAAGGGGGTGCGTTGGCAAGAAACCGATCAAATTATATACCTCAAAGTCATTGGCTAGCAACAGATGGAAAACGTCCCCCCAAAAGAACGTGGAGTGCAGTGGATATCCAAACCAAGCTACAACAGTTCTCTGTAAAGAGCAAATTAAATGAATACAGTAGTTTGAAATTGACTCTTACCCAGACTGCGGACGTGGCTTTGACTCGGCTTTGACCCATCCCCTTGGCTACTGACAAGTCAAAGGAGTGATGGCTTGATCTACAGTGAATCTTCAACAACTCCAAGATTTGGGACATTGGGTTCGTGGTGCTTAAATCTACCTGGCAGCTTTGTGGGAGAAGCTATTAGGGGCTCCTGGCCTTAGTACTAGGAGCAAGGACGCTACTAGGGGCTCCTGGCCGTACTACTAGGAGCAAGAAGCTACTAGGGTAGAGGAACAGCGAGCGCCTTGTTCCAACAGCGAGCGGGTCCCCAAGACCGCCATGTGGATCCAGAGCAGAATCCTGTCACCCAGGACTGGCGTGGCCCCCCAGGTGATCGGTTTTAGGACAAGTACCTGCTTTAGGCTTAGGAAAAACCTCATCAAAACGGGTCACAGGCTCACAGAAACTAGTTCTTGCGAAAGAAAAGAAGAGTTGTCTTCATCCAAGCAATGCAACTCTCTCTGCCATGTGACTAGACTAGCAGCTCAACTACATCGGGCTCTATCATTCTCTTCTTGGCGTGTGTCTCTGTTTTGTGGCGACAAGCTAACATCATCACAGCAGTCACAATGTCAGCTTGTCCCCACAAAACAGAGACACACGCTGAGAGGAGAATGATAAAGCCCGATGTATAACATAGTTAATGTTGGACTGCCATCACTCTACAAAACAACCACACCAACGACCCAAAGAGCAAGAGCGGCCCGTTGCAGGATCACGTCTCTGTATCACCAGATGCTACACATCTCCCCATGCCCCACGTCACCACATCTCCTGGCCACCACCTCGAGAACTTCCACGCTGCGTGCCACTCGCCGCATCCACCGGTTTCGGTCGCAGGTGCTCGTCGCATCCACCACGGCCGTCCCCGTTTGTGCGAGGCCTCACACCGTGGGCGAACCATTATCGGCACAGGGGAAACATGTCTCTTCGTTGGTCAATTCTCATGTGATGTAGTCTCAGTCTTTGCATTCTTTTGTTGGCTTCTGTAGTTTGCATGTTGAGAGTTCCTTGGGAAAGAGATGTTTCCATTGTTCCCATTGCCTTTATGGATCGTTAGGATCTTTCAGCTACTTGCTCTAAGTCTAGTTACTACTCCAATCCTTGGGACCCTGTGCTCTCCTTTCACCCAATACCCTCCAACCTTTGGCCAAAATGTCCTCAAGTAGCTCGCTCACCTGGAGAAAACAGCTTCAAATTCCCATCAGCCTTGTGAGCATTCAGATGAACTTCAGCTACATTAGCTACATGTGCAAATGCGCGGAATTGGCCGAATTTCCCTACACCTTTGCCTTTCGATTTGAGACCCAAGATTGGGAGGTGGTCTTTGTCAACCTGGGATGAATCGCTCTGCTCTGCACGGACGAAGCACAGCCAAGCCACTTCTCACGAATCTGCTTCAAACGCACGTTTACCATGTACCCTCGTTTGCCTATATTGCAGAAAGGGTAAGGATGCAGTCGTGTCCTTTGTATTCCTGAACTTGAGGCCTCCAAAAACCATGCTTTCGGAACCTCCAAAAGTGCAACAAGGAAAACGGCGGGAACTTCAACCCCCCACGTGCGGAACTCCAACAGGTCTCAAGAACCAGCTGCGGACCTCTCTACATCTGCTGAAACCGTCGTCTGGACCGTCCGAAGTCATGGCCGTCTGGACTCTGTTGTCTCCAAACAACGTCTGCCCAGCGGCAGGCGGAGCAAGTCGAGGAGGAGCTTCCCACGGTACGCCTGCAGGTGAAGCGCGCGGAGGTATATACTTCTCCTTTCCTCCACCACCTTCAACAATCCAGCAAAGCTTGCCACACCCCCACCAAAAGTAATCGCAGCAGTTTTCACGAGAGTGTGGAGGCAGGAAAGTCTGAGTTCTACATTTGTTCGAGCATTCAGTATATTTACTGTAGTCAATTTGGTCTCAACTCCATATTGTTTTTTCCACAACAAGGGTTGTTTGTGTGGAAGAATTATGCTGCAAAGTTTGCACATGTTCATGTCATCTTTGCGAAGGGAATATGTTGTCTTTCCCACACAAGTTCTGGTTCTCCCGTCGTTCATTCCTTCAAGGCTCCACCAAACCTCTTGATTCCACCCCATCCGCTCATGGCGGACACCGCCTCGATCGCCCCAAAGCATCGTCGAGCGTCGCCGCGCGTACTGCGCATTGCGGCGCCCGCAGCACTGGACGCTCAGCTGCCGGACACCTCAAGTGGCCCCAGCTGGTCTGAACGACAGTCATGAGCAAACACAGTGCCGTAAAGAACATCAATACCCGCAGAACCATGCAGTGCTGCAGCACCTCAATGAAATATATGGTCTTGAAATACAGTAACTACCTTCATAAGCACCAAATCACGTACGCTCAGACTCTCGAGTCCATGTGTACTACATATATATATATATAAATATATATCATCAAGGTGGACTGTACCTGGCTCACAGGGAACTGCTGTGAATCTCAAGTGTTTCAATTTCGAATGGTTTGTCGCGATGCAGGCCAGCTCAGGCAGATAAATGATAAGCTTGCAAGGATTGGGAAAGAAGTCAGGAACAAGATAGTTTCCCAACCAAGTTCTCAGGTGTGGACCCCTCAAAGTGCCCTGTATCAACAGTCCATTGAAAGAAGGGGTTGCTACAAAGGTCTATACGAATTCAGACCCAAGAATATCCGCCGAACACCTTCAACCTGACATCTGAGTACAGGCACCGAATACATAGACTGCCAGCAGCGTCAAGAGAAACGCAAACTGGCCAAGGTCAAATCGCGGACGGACAAGGTGGATACAATCCCTGAAACCAGCCTTGCTTGGTCCAGGGTTGTTCCCTGCCACAATTCACACCGTGAACAGGTCATGAGCCAAAGCCTACGAGGCCCCTTCAAAGTCGTGAAAACTCAGTGCCCGTTGACGCCTGTGCAAAGGGAAAGGGTGGCGGGAAGCTTCCAAACCCGCTTGGTGAGAAGTGCAAACAAGCACGTCCTCTCTTCTGGTGTCCATTGTGCATTCACTCCGCAACAGTGGATGGTTTCCTGTGAAAGAACAAGGGACCGGAGTTCAGTTGTGTTAGTTGTCTAATCGAGGGGAACGCTGACAACTCAATGCTTGTTCAGCGAACATCAAACCTATTCTGCACAATCTCTGCAATCCCAGACTACGCCAACACCCAAGCCGCTCCCAAGCGGCCTAAAGACAAGAGCAAACTGCAACTCATCCCCGCCTGCTCCATCCCAATTCGCAGACCGTCATGGTCTGACCAGGCAACGAAGCCTGGGAAATGGCAAGTGACATCCAAATCTATTGGGCTTCTGGCCCTCTTGGGCACCTCTATTCTGACAGCCTATACTTGGAACATAAGAGTGTGGAGAAGGTAACACTAATAGTATATCGAATGCGGTCTCTGGTACAGAAATTCTCCCAAGAGCATCCAGACAGTTTCTGAACTAATTGTTGTACTTGTAATTCCATCGACACTGGTCTCGAAGTGCTGTGGAGCGGATCTTGTTGGTGAGGGCAACCTCAATACTCACCACTACTACCACTACCTTGGATTGCACTTAGCAAACCCCTCCTATTTCCCCCTTGACACCTCACCCAAATCTGTCCTCATGGGGTTCACCCATCCCCATTGGCCAGGGCCCCAGCAGAGCCCCAAAGAGAGACCTCCAGCCACCAAGACCTACGGTGCTGGAACTCTCCAGAAGTGAAATGAGGGTTTGGGGAACGACTAACACCATGGGGCGAAGCAAGCAAGCATCAAATGCTTGCATATTCAGGTAATCTAGTGACATGTCTGCCAAGCAGTCGGAGAAGCTGAGACAAACTCCTCAAAGAACAAACCGGAAGTGGGAGGAAGTTGATATGTGAGCCCAAACGAAGGTACTGTGTTTTATTCGCACGCAGTCAACGAAAGTACAAGCAGCAGCCCGGATGTGATTTGCTCGACCCAGCGGAACACACCAAACAGATATGGCAGTGGGTCAAAACCCATGTATATAGATAGAACACGATCCTACGGGACCGGGACCGATCATGATTCTTGCATTGATGTGCAGCGTCCAGCATCTACAGCTTTGGTCATGTCCCCAGCAGCCCCAGCGCCTGCCTGAGCCCAAAGCACCAGCAGGTGCCACCAAAAGTCGACTCTTAGATCACGCAAGGAGGGTGGTAGTGTGAGCAGCAGTGCCGACAGGCTAAGGCCTCAGACCAAACGTGAGGCCTAAGATGGCCCCACTGGTGTGATGAAAAGATATGAAAAGTATTGAAAAGTGCTTGCTTGGTGTTGGCTGATTCATGGCTGTGATTCAAGGCTTCACTGCGGAGGTCCTTAGCTCCCTCTGCTTGACTTGGAAGTTGAGGAGGCTTGCAGGAGCTGACGAAAACCCTTCGGGCCCAGTCGATGCCCTTTGTTCCTAGTAGGGAACATTGCTCCTAGTAGGAAGGCCAGGAGCCCCTAGTAGCGGTAGCGATGCCCTTTGTTCCTAGTAGCTTCTTGTTACTTGTAGCGATGCCCTTTCATCCTTGGCTCTTCCAGTCTGTCGGGCGCCCCACTCATGATCGCCAAAAGCGCTGAGCGATGGGTCAACTCCCAAGAACTGAGAGCATCTCCTAGCGAAATCGAAGATTCCGGCCACCACAAGGCGGTCCAGTGTACTACAACTTGTTCGTGTTCATCTTGATGGCAGTGGCAGTGGGCTACCTTGGAAGGCCTTACCATTTTTACCAACTTCACTAATGTATAAGGCTAAAAGGACACATTCTCGCCATTTAATGCATGGGAACATTCAATCAAGCCGTGAATCTCGTGATGTGTTAAGCTCGTTTATGCTTGGAGCCGTGGGACCGAAAAGCTACGACAACCCTCTCTGTCCTGCCCAGGCCATCAGAGTGCAAGACCCTGCTGAGAGCATGGCCCGCCAAAGCACTTGTCCCTGGGGTGGACAGCCGCCAAAGAAATGGAGCTCCACCTGACAAGCAAAAGGAAAATGGGGAGATCACGCCAGCACATCAGAAAGTTAAACAGGGAATCAGAATTCATGAACGAACAAAGTGCCAGACCTGCTCCAAGCACCACAAGAGCAGCTCTGGAAGGGAGGCGAGCAGCCCAATCGCCCAGAGTAGCGGAAGGAGCGCTAGACACACCACGAGCCTTGGCGATCGATTGATAACCGGATAAAGACACTCGATCAAAAGTCCATGCGACGGTGTTGTCTCAACGCAGCCGACTGCCACATGAAAAAACAGTGGAAGTCAATCGTGTGCCCTCGCTTGATTGACCCAACCACCAATCCAAGTGTGGACTTCATGGAATCAGTCAGTTGATCAATGTCTTTCTTGATGTTCTGACACAGCTCTAGTAAACTCTTAGAAAGTGATTGGAATCACCCCCCCTTCCCGCCGGCGGCAGCTGCCGCCCTGCGACTGCCCTGCTACCCCCCTGCTACCTAGCCACCCCTGCGCAACCTCCACAGGCAGGTCGAAAAGCAGTGGAAACAGCAGCGGGATCACCGTGAAGGGCCGAGACTCCGACGAGCCTCACGTCCAAAACACCCGTCCACTCGTACACGACCACACGTCCCAAGGTAGGTCGGAGAGTAGGTCGCAGCAGGTGTCTGGTCGGGGAGTGAAAAGAAGTCGACGTTCAAGTTCTTGGAGTTTTCGATTCTTCATACGCCCTGTCAAGCATTCGAGGACCAAGCACCATGTGTCTTGATGGGCTTTCTGGATCTCCGTGCGAAGAATTACGACTCAACCTTTGACTGGAAGTTGGAGCACGTACATATATATAATATAATATAATATATTTTAGTTTAATATAACATTGTTCTATATTATATATATATATAAATATGCGAACGGATGAAAAGCGTGCCCCTGGCCCCGCTCTAGCCCTTAGTCTAACATGAAGCTCGCGCACTAAAGCTCCTTTTTACCTGGTTGGGCACTTGAGCCAAAATGGTATGGCAAGTACCTATATAGAAGCTATACTGGGACCTCATCTCTATTGACACCCCCCACATCCGTGCTTCGACGGGGAAGGGAGATGAGTGGATGTAAAAAAAACCGGAGAACGAATCATGTTCTCAAAAGTGTATTGGAGGTCAACCAGTATGTCCTATTGATCTGAATTAGCAAACGATCTTGCATTCGCTTGAAAGTTGGGTCAAACAGGTAACGGAGCTACAAACGGATAACGTGCATCTACCTATGGTATCCTGCGATTACCGACGGTGTGAAACACAATCCTATTTCACTCCCATGATGCCAAAATGGTCATCATGAATTACCCAAGATCCCTCAGTACTTGAAGTACCGGAAGTAGTATGTCGGTATGACCCCGATGCTCAACCATTCGTGAGTTGTCGCATGTAGTCAGCTCCGACAAAGCCAATGTAGTCCTTGATGAGCTCAACGTTCCTTGGGTTTCCCCTCCGGATCTGCTCCTCGAAGGACTTCAACTTCTGCGTTTGAGTATCGGATACCTCTATGCCGTAATAGCGGCACGCAACGAGGATTTCCTTTGTGACATTCTTCCGCTCTGACTTGATGGCGGGGCTAATGTCGATGAATTTGTATGGAGCGGCACCTTCATCGTCTGGTTTCTGGTAGTAACTATATCGGCTCGCTCCGAAAGTCTTCTTAATCAAGCGTCTGATGAAATTTGAGATGAATGCCAGTTTCTCGATGATCTCTTCCTGGGTCTCAGATCTTTGAGCCTTCGGATCACTCATGTTACGCCGGGTGCTGCCGACCTCTTTGAGATACTTGTGGCTAAGCCCGCAGCGGATTGCAGTGATCATCATCGGGTGAATGACGTGGGCATGAAATTCATAGATCTGCCACGCTTCTGTTGCATACGTGTCGTTGGTCCATTTGCTCATGCCTACGACTTCGGCTCTCTGAAGGCGTCTTGGAAATCCAGTATCCGGATCATTCGGTACTAATGGCCATCTATTGAATGGAGTATCATGCCGCTGTCCCTCGTCGAACTTTCGCAGTACGTCTTCACGACTCTCAAAGCAATTGATGTCGAACGTTGCGTTGGCCAAGCTCTTGATCAACTTCATCAACCTCAGATCAAATTGCTGTGTGACTGCAAAGTTGTGGTCGATGGGGATCGCAGCTTCTTGCGGCAATTCGTCAATTGCGAAGGGGAAAGGCTGTGGAAGTTCATTCCCGTACCCATCTTGAGGGACCTCCCGATATTCGGGTTCGCCTTCGGCTTCGTCCGGTCGTTCCTTCATGATGATAGGAACTTCCTCGTCTTCCTCACCTTCGGACTCCTCGACGTCAATGACTTCTTCGGCCGTCTTGCGTGCATTCTTGATGACTTCATCGATGTTTGCACCTGCGGAAGAAGTTGCCTCACCGGAAGAACTGGCTGGTACGTCTCTCGGAGGTGATCGTTGATTGCGGTCCCTTGTCTCCTTGGGTACCACATGCGTGAGCTTCCCATTTGCGATCAGAACCGCCACACAGTGCGGACATATCGTCAATCGCACATCGACTTCGCCAAGACAGTTGGGACACGGTCTTGAGTCATAGTCCTTCATTGCTCGGCGGTACACGATCTCCTCAAAGATTTCCTGCCATTCGGTGCTATCGTACTCTGGGTAAACACCGCTCTCCTCGACCATGCTCAGCAGCTTTGTGATTTTGGCGTCGTCCTCGGAGTAAGTATCATCCTGGACTTCAATCGCTAAGCTCTCAAGCTTTTGATAGCGTGGAGTCATGGTCGGGTTTCCGTATTTGGACTCCAGAACAAGGTAGCTTCCAGGGTCGGGTTCTCTATTGAGTAACCTGATCCATTCGATTTCCTCAGGCTGTCCGGGTTCTGCATTGTCGCATTGCAACCATGCCCCTTTAACCTCATCGAAGGGAACGACGTCCTCAACCAATAGAGATCCAGTCGCTGAGATGAGAAGCCCGTACTCCTGCAGTTTCGACACTGGAATGTAGAGAACCACCGGGCGATCACTCAATGCGACCTTACGACCCAGCCAAGGTTTTCCCTTGTAGCCCTGTTCCCAGGCCCATGGCGGAAAACATGTGAAGTGGATAGAATCCCTTCCCGATGTACCGAGACCTCCTGGCACTAGCCCCCGTCGCATGATTGAAGTCAGCGCTCCAAGATTGGTAGCGTGAAATGCAGTCACCATGGATAGGGCCATGTCGTTGGTCATTCTCGATCCAATGTGGTCGATGTTGATGGTAACGTCATAACCTCCACCGTCCGACGAGTGTGCTGAGGTTGCTCTTACAGCCACGGGAAAGCACCATCCATCGCTATTGTGGAGTCTTCCTTTGGAGATTCCCATGCCCTTGAGCTCGTCAATCCATTCCTTCTCCATCGGATCATCAGGATCATTGAGTTCATCAGGGTGAACGCGAACTGCCAACATTTGGAATCTGATCCTCTTGGTTATGCGGAAACACTCATAGTTCTGGTCGAGGTACTTCTCCAAACGCGCCTTCTTGGTCACGATGTCAATGTTGCCATAGTGATAACCGTCTTCCCAAACTGCGTTATCACCTAACAGGTCTTCCCATGACACCCATGCGCCTTCATCGCATTTGATTGGTGTGAGTCTTCCTCCTGTTCTGAACTGGCGTCCAATTCGATGCCTCAACTTCGCTCCCAATCGGCGACTCAGGGCCTGACTCGCTTGGCTGTATTCAGGTACTCGACAGTCTGGGGTCGGATACTTGAGGTTGCCGTAGTCGGAGTTCTGTGCAGCGAAAGTGACTCCGTTGATCGGTACTAGCTCAACTTTCCCGATCATCGTCATGGGGTCGATCGGCTTGTATCCCTTCTCCCTCCTTGTCGGTAGGGGGTAGAATTGATGACATGCCTTTGGTTTGAGGGAGCTGGAGTGCACAAATGCCCTCTCAACACACTCATACACCATCTTCATATCCCTAGGGCCAACTTCCGCAAGCTTCCGCCCATTGTAGGAATGTGTCCCTCCTTCGACTCCATCGGCACTTTCAATCAAGGTGAACCCGTCATGGTCAAACATTGTCACGACTCTTGCTTTCAACATTTCTTTTCGCCTGAACTCGCTGTCGACCTTCCTATCTGGAGTAGGCGATGCTCTCTGCTTCTTCTTCTTAGGCCCCTCGGCTGGATGTCCGGATGGTACATCGTCGGGTGCAACCTCTCCCTTCACTCTCTTTTTCCAATCGCTCAGCACTGAGGTGACTGTGGGTGAAGAAGATGAAGGGATCTTCTCGCAATTGAGAGTTGTGTGTCCCGACTTCATGCAGTGGATACAGAATTCTGCTTGCCCGATCTTCTTCTCGAATTCGTCGATGGCTTGCAGTATTGATGTCTTCGGATCGGACATGTCAACGTCTTGCTCCTCCCTCTCCTGCTCACCCTCAGTTTCCATATCGACACCTTCGGCCTCGGGCTGGTCAGTAGCTTCTGCTCCCTGTTCTGGTTCTTTCCCAATTTCGAAGAAGTGGTCGATATCGAATTCAGGAGGCGGCATGGTCCTCATGCGAACGAGAATCAGTGCCACGTTTGCCGCCTCTTCAGAGTGCGGGTCCAAT